AACTGAAAACAAATAAAGACTTAAAGACAGTTCAGCAGAATAAATCTGCAAACGAACTCTCTAAGACACAAACTGTCACCAGATCGGGAAGACATGTTCACTTCCCTAAGAAACTTGCTTCTTACATAACAATTTAAAACATTTTTTTAAAATTCATATCTTAACATATTTCTTGTTATTTCATGTTTATTATATGTGTCAATACCTTGTCATATATTGAATTTCATTTTGATCTTTTCTAATTTTATATTCTAATTTTGTAATCATGTAAAAATACCCGACAGTACGGATACTCTGAGATAATTCATAACCTATGTCGTTCCTTTGAATAGCCATTAAAGGAACTGGGGGGAAACTCTGTGGTGATGGCGATAAGGAGCGCGCCTTGCGCCCTCCGATAAGTGTGGCAACCCTAGAGGAGAAATTTCTTACGAGTAGCGAGCAGAGCGAAACAGGCAGGCTGTCGGGCAGTGTGCGCGAAGTTCCTAAATAAAGCTTAATTTTTATTGTGCACTACGTCTTGTTAATATTATATTAATGCAGTAAGAACATAATCTGTGATATGGAATTCGAGGATTGGTGGTAAAAACATAACCGGAAATTTCCATAGATCTCCGAAGTTCCGGGGTTTCCCCGGAGCACAAACACCCATGAATGATTACATTCGTATTGCTAGAAGCATTCGGCTGAGCCCTAAAATCGCTGAATACTGATAGTTCGATCTGAGGTTTGAATCTCATGAACGGGCTGGCTGCATGGCCGTTTTCGCGGTTTAACCGAAATCTGTAACGTATATACGAGACAGTTTCCTTTAGACCGTCCTCCTTATCCTTAGGCTGATAGCCCTCAAGGCTTTACCATAATCATATAAACCAAACTAGCCATCCAAGCATTCTTTTGGTTTTTAAAAAGGTATATTTTTGTACTTAATTTATTCAATAAGTCCATGAAAACTCGATGAATACTTCAGTTAAAATGTATTTAATATTTCTCTGTAAATGCAAGCCCACAAATATTAATCCAAGTGCTTGGATGAAGGGAAATTTTGCACGCTACTTGTAACCAAGAATAGTATCATCAATTCAGTTATGGACAGGCGCTTTAAACGTCACTAAAACTGATTTTATGGTGAAAATAATGAATAAAAGTAGTAACCAAATATTGTTCTTTCAAAATTTGAAATGGAGTTTCACAATCAAATATGTAATATTTTCTACCACGACTTCATGGAATGCGGTCAACTGTGTAACTGCTTTAAGAACCAAACAGTTTTATAGAGCCATAAAACGTGATTGAAATGAAGATGTTTCTTTTTTAATAACTTGAATAGTAAGAACAAAAGAAAACTGCTGATTTATCTCCAGAAAAAAAATCATCTATACTAACTTAATGGAGATGACATAAAGACTGACTAAATTAACCAAAGATAATACAGAAGTTGCAGCCAGGTTCACTAATTCTTTAAAATAGTATAATTAATTACAGTATAAGATTTACTCAGAAGAATCTGGCGAAGAAAATGATATGCGAACAAGGAAAGATACCTTAAGCTATATCTACAGATCTTCAACAGAACCATAATACCTTCGAAACTTTAAAGCATCATATGCGAGTGTGTGATATAAAAAATTTTATAATATAGAAATTGAAAAATCAAAACGATCTATATATCAGGAATGGATAAATCGATCGTGAAGTGAGTTCTGGTCGATCGCAGATGACAGGACACTTTTGAATACGCTAGTGCAACTAAGCATCTTTTTTCTAATGTTTAAAATAAAACCGTCTTCTTTTATACCTCTTTTGCATTTTAGTATTCATTAAAATGAGTAATTGGACAAAAACATCCAAGATTTATCTTTTTACGAAGAAAGGAATTTGATTACTTTTCTACTATGATGAATGATTAGTAACAATGCCTCTGTCGCAGTTATTTAAAAGGTAAACTGGAATTTTTTATCATCACATAACAAATATCAAACAGATTATACTCAAAATAGTGAATTGAGGAAAAAAATAAAATTAGGGATCGTGACGCTCGATAACAAAACGTTTTTAAAAAGCCCATGTTAAAATCCTTTGCAGTGACTATTTCATCATTCAAGGTAAGCCATATTTTAGGGAAAAAATCAAACTATTTTTAAACAGTGGAATTATAAAAGACACTTTTTTGGAAATGTCAGATTAAAGTTTGATGAACAAAACTTAATTATTGCAGCAATCAAAGATCTATAATTTTCTCAAAATACTGCAATGTGGCAGATTGAGAAAATGACTGAAAATATAGGAGAATAATTATATAACCATATTAACAGATGTTCTTGTTTTCCCCTTAAATTGATGAATTGATTAGTATAAGTGACAGAACACAATTGCTTTTTATTCACACAGTTTTAAATTCTGACACTTGACGGAGAAGTACCAGAATTATTATTAAATACTTATGTAAGGTGGCTAAGCAGAAGTAAATTTTTGCAATGACTTTACGATTTATTTATTGAAATAATTTTTTCCCTTTTATAGGTAATTGAAATGATGAAACTTGGATCAGTGATTTAGCATTTCTTACACATTATATATCGACATTAATTGACTTAAATTTAGAATTGGGAAAAAGGGGGGCTAAGGCAATAATTGATATAATCTGTAGCATTAACGCACACACAAAAATATATAATAGTTATATAAGATGCACAATAACACAACCTGAATGGCTTTCCAAATTTGTCCTATCACCTGAAAAAATATTGAAACTAATTAAAGCATTAAAAAATATGTTGCAGAAATTAAGAAGTCAAGAAGACTCTGAGGTCAGATTTCATGATTTTGAAAACGTTAGTAATTATGCAGAATCTGTCATTTCTTTTTTTCAAAAAAAAAAAAAAAAAAAAAAGATATAATATGAATTGCCATGAAAATTTTTAATATTGGGAGAAAATAGTATTAGAAAATGAAATTATAACTGTACTAACTGATCATGAAGAAAATTTTGGAAATGTGTCAATCGAGAGAAGCATCCCAGTTTCATCAAATGTAGCAAATGCATCTACTTTTATTTTGGATCTACATGCTTATGTGAATTGGCTTCTCCATTTTTAAAAACCACAAAGACGAAATAATGTTCCCTGCTTATTGATTCTCATACTTGAAGATTCATTATTATCTTTGTCTGGATATATACCAAATTACGAATGCTTGGTTGAAGAAATGCAAATGCAGACTTCTTATTACTGATAAAAAAATAAAATTTAATCTGTATGTTTTTGTGGCTGCTTTACAATAAATAAATATTTTTGATGAAATGCATTAGTTTAATACCCCCTTCTCCCATTATTTATTAGTACAAAAAATACAAGTTTGAACGTGTTAAATATTAAGACTAATAGGTAGACTGTAACACATTTTTAAGAAAAAAAAGCAGTTATATATATACAGAAGTTGGCTATCTCTGCTATATATGAAAGGATCTAAGAGAAAATAATAGGAGTTTTGAGCAGTGAAGCAGAAGCTTAGCAGGTAACAGATGAAATGGTAGTGTTCAAGATACAAAACTAGAGAAAATTTAAATTCTGGGGCAAAGAAGATATATTATTCTGAACATTAGATACAGGATTTAATGTTTAGTAATTTACTTTTAACAATGCAAAGAAACAATATATCTATGAAGCTGGCCATCCAAAATGCAGCCTATAAAACAAACAAAGTGTCAAAGCCATATTAACAGAAATAACATACGAGTAATAATAAGGCAAGACTTAATAGTAAATAAATGAATTAAATTACAGACCTGTTTGACTTGCAGATACAAAAAATTCAGTATTTTGTGTACTGCAATAACTGCTTCAGCACTTTTCAGCATTAAAAGAAAGTAGCTTTTAAGGTGTAGTTGAGTGTACCAGTAAATGCTGTTTCCCTTAAATTGCCAAAGTTAATTTGGCATTGCTGCAAGTGGTACATGCTGGGTTGCTATTTACCAATTAAGAAATGTTCAAGAATGTTAGATGTGCAATATATTGGGAGAATGGATGAGCTAAGGCAACAGTGTAACTAAAACAAAGATATGATGAATACTGTGAGCCATCTGTAGTCGCACATTGCCCTATTAAAACCTGGCTGCAGGCAAGCTTTGAAGATCAGAGAGAACAAGAGGCTCCCAAACTTGGGAGAAGTAATGATGGTTCTTGAGTGTGCTGCCAGTGCATATTTAGGCAGGTGTGGGAGTAAAGATTTATTTGAACCACAAACCATAGATCCAATTCATGGATGATATGCATAATGGAAAGGTCATGATGTCTCTCATTAATGTGCCTCCAGATTCGGGCACAACTATCAGTAATACATTCATCTAAAAAGACAATGTTGTGCTACTGGCTTGTCCATGTTTAATAAATCCAGTGAAACACTACAGGCACAACTGCTTGCGGGATAGAATCGATGGTCATTGCCAGAATGGATGTCTTGCAAAAATTTCCCTTTTCTACAATGTTGAAAGGTACATACTGACACAGGTTGTTGTGTCACATATCCTTATTTTTATACTAAAGTTCTTGAGGCTACTGTGTGATTTATTATTTAAATGAACAGAGCATGCTTGTCCTCTACTTCGATCACTTGATCAGGTTGGTACAATCACTTAATACCAGCGATTCCATATCCGCATTATTACGGGTTAATTTTGTCCAACACGAGAACCCTTTTCTTGGAAGGATAAGTCATAATTCTTGCTTGCTTGAATAACTGCCTTTTTTCAATAAAGCACTCTGGAACTTATCATGTAAAAGAACATCAGCAAAATACACAATTCCAATAGTAGCAGTTTAATGCTAATCATTTCCATTTCAAAATCTATGCATGAACACATTTTCAGCCTACCTTGCTATGCATTTTCTGCATAGATGCTTAGCACAGTATTTACTTGGAATAAACTTAATAATTATTAAATTATATAAAATTAAGTCTAAGTGATAATAAAAATTAAATATGCTTGTTTATTTTTTCAGATAAGAAAAATGCAAGACATGTTACAACAAATGCAGCAAAAACTACGGGCAGCAGGCTCAGAAGGAGATGGACCCAAAGCAAGTGAAACTATAGTTAATCTTTGATAATTTTCTGCCTCACACTTGATTAAAATGAGCACAATATCTTTCTCTAGTAAATGGTGTGTTAAAACGATTTTAAATGAATTTAATTCATAATTAATAATTAGCATTTAAATAAATGTTTAAACTGCTTTTAATTTTTTTTTTTAAAAAATAAATGTGCTAGAGAAGGAAAAAAAAAAAAAAATGAAAACAAGTTCAACTGAGTAAATGAAAATAAAGACTCTTATTTATTGTCCATATTTTTTTAGGAGGAGGGTGGTGAAATGAATTTTTAAAAACTCATGTCAAATCTAGCTACATCCTATGAGATGAAGCTTGAAGGTTTTTAAAAAAATCGCATGATCATCAGAGAAATAAGTGAGACAAAGCAAAGAACAACTTGCAGTGAAAATATGGGACACGATACTCAGACTTTTGCTACAATTTAATGCTGTCAATTGTGCTTTTCAAATGAGAATCTATGGAGCATGGTTATGTTGCAAATTGTATGTGACATTTTTTAATATAATGGTTAGAGATGGTATTAGATTTTTGTACATATTTCTTTTCTTGTAAAGCGATGTTTCTTGTTACTGTTTTTTGATAATGGTAAAATTTAGTGCAACATCAATGCTGTTTTGATCCACTGTGTTGAAATTTCTTATCAATAAAGTTATTATAAACATTGCATTAATAGTTCTTTTAACATGTATTTCAGTTCTAACTAAATGGAGATGAAATTGAACTCATTTTACTTTTTCTATTTTCCTTTCCTGAATCTAACAAATCAAATGTAACCAGACTTTCCTTGTTCAAGATTTAATTCATACCAAAACTTTTTATACATTATGAAATTTTATTTATTTTGTGGAATTCTAAGCTTTGATAGTCTGTAAATAGAATAGTAGGAAAATTAACTACAAAGATTTTAATTGGAATAAATGCACACATACTGATAAGTACTTTTCCATCTACTGCATTGAAAAATCCATATATTGAAAACAAAAGGAAATTTTCTAACCAAAATGAACATAAATTTAGTACAATATCAGTGTTTTGATGCAATGTACTAAAATTTATCAATGAAGTTATATCAAAATACAAGATGTTATAGAAATTCTTTCGTGGTGTATTATTAGTACAGCAGATGTAATCTACAAAATCAGAAATCTGTGTGGTCTATTAATAAGTCTTGATTGTAAAGTTGAAATAATAAAAATTTTTTGTCTATAATATTTTTAAAAAATAAATATAGATTGTTACTTATGTTCTTTCGGCACATAACTAAAAGAAATAATTGTTTTTTTTTTTCATGAAAGTGAAGGAAACTTAAATATTACTTATAGTAATAATAGTAGCAGAGTAGAATTATATAGTTAGAATTCTTTCCTAAAATAGTGCCTTGCGGTTTTATAATTTGTAATTTACAGATTAATTTGGAAACTTAAGCATTTTTATATATTTACATAATGTGCAAATATAAAATTTAGAAAATATTTATAAATTTTCTCGGAACTATTCACCAAGTATTTTGTAAAATAAGTTTATACCTTTTTTTAAGTTTTGAGGTTGAACTACTTCATTTCAAAGTAAACAACATAAAACACGGTTAACAAAAAAAAAAAAAAAAAAAAAAAAAAAAAAAAAAAGAGAGAGAGAGAGAGAGATGGATGTTGTAGATTTCCTTGGAAATTAACTTAGGCTATCAGCTTACATTTCTCAATTCTGGAATACTGTGTATTATACAATGAAACTCTTATTATCTCACTCTTCTAATTCAAACATTCTAGGAAAAGGTTTTCACTTACTTCAAATATGCAACATTTCAAAGTTTTATTAGTTTGCTTGATTTTTATTGCTAACAATTTAACAAAAATAAAAATCTGGCAGCCATTTTTTAATATAAATAAAAGGTAACACAAAGCCACTTTTCTATCCATGACATATTTCCTTCAAAGGGCTTTGAATGCACAATATAAAAAAAAACTCTTGAATTACGTATCTTATAACTTAAATAATTAATTAAAGGCATACCAGACATTCATGAAAAAGACTTTTCTTTGGTTATCTACTTTATGTCAGTTATTTAATTGTTTTAAAAACTTTCCTCTTCTGTACATATGAAATCAAATAGAAAAAAGTATATTCTATAATAATTCCTTACAGCAACGAATGTCTCTTATTCTGCTTTACACACATTTAATTTCGAATATCAACATTGGTGCCCTGCATTTCACCTAACTAGCAAACACAGAACTGTTAATCAGGTTCTAAATAGCTGGATTGCTTGTTTTCCTTTCCAGGACACATATAATTATGCTTATATGTTTATTAATATTATTAATTTATGTAGGTTTCAATTTTTATAATATTTTATAAATATTAAAAAGAAATACAATACATATTTTGAAGCTATTAAATTCTAGATAAATATTATCAAGTACTCTTGTCCTTTCATATGTGGCAAATATGCAGCCTATAAACAGAACACACTTTCAGACAGTATGTAGACTTTTTTAACTTCATGAATCATTGCTGCATTATAAGAAATACTTTGTCTACAAAATTAAACAAATATAGTAAATATTACATCTACATGGTTCACAATTAAAACTACAGAACATTAGTAGTTCAAATTTTGGTGAATGGGCTGGCTGCATTGAATTTTCATGGTTTTTGCCATGTATAACATAAAACATCAGTTTCTCTTAAAAACTCATTCATGAAAGCATTCCTTAGCTTAGCATGATAGCTCTTCTATGCTTGTCATAACCCAACCTTCATCAAGCTCAGTTATTGTTTTACAATGTATGGAATTAATGAGTTATTTTTTAATAACCTCTGTTACAAGCAAATAAAAATATTTTATTATATAATTCTGCAGAAGAAAGTGTTTATTATTTTGTTTTGAAGAATTAAAAATATTTTAGCAGTATAATCTTTATAGTAAAAGACTACAATAAAACACTCTCTCAAAAAGTATGTGTAAATATGGTGCAAAGGGAGAAGCAATTATCAGGATTTTTCAAATATTTAGATGGAATGTAGACTCAATTTGGATATTCTGCATTATCGGTATTGCATGCAAATAAATTGCTATGGAAACAGTCAATTACAAGAAATGCATTAAACAATCTGCATATTGCAGAATTGGATTAAATTTGTCAGGCTAAAAATATTCACATAATGTACTTCATCTGCAGTTTGGATAAATGTAAACTAATTGGCTTTATTCTTACAGACACAACAAAATTTAAGACAATGCAAGTTATATAAAAATTTAAACACTATTACAAATACAAGTAAAGAGGTGACCTAATTATGAAATGACAACAAATAGACATTAGTTTAATTTTTATTTCCAGATTAATGCAACATTCGTGTACTTTCCTGATCCACCTAGCTCACAGTCTTATATTTGACACATTCTTAACCAAAATTCCAAATTCCCTTGCCTTTTGCCCCCGAGTTAAAACAGCCAGAAATGGAAACTTCATGCCTACAAGTATTTCCCATGGACATGAGGATTATTTACCACAGAAGTTTTTTACTTATATTTTACATCATAATTTTTAATTACTGTGCAAGCACATAGAACTGCAATCTCTGATGCTCCTTATTCCTACAGCTGGACAGCAATGCAGGTATGAATTTCTTGAATTTTCAAGCTTTGCAAAACATTAAAATATACAGTCGAAAAGTGATGAATAAATTGATCAAGGCTGAGTTCCAGTCACCAGTTATAGAACAACAGAATATGAACAAAATTTGGGAGCATACCCTGAGAGCCAAGATTTTCAACATTTTAAATTTGCTACCTGTTGAGTGATATCTAGACATATTCACACCTGAGATGCATTCCTCCTGATAAAGACAGCTATGTGATTTTCTTCCATCCTAAAGATATGGCTGAAATAGCTGACTGCGGTGTTCTTTTTTAAGGTCTCGATACTTTTCTCATGCTAAAGTATTTTTATTGGATAGTCTAACTGCAACATAAAAAATACTCATGAAAAGAAATATACCATGCTGCCATTTTTTCCCCTATAATTCACTACATCATATTCTTGGGGGGAGGGATGCTTCCACATTCGAAAAGTTGCTTTTTTTTTTTTTTTTTTTAATCTAATGGCGGGCTCTTGCCTTTTTAGCATTATTGGCCACTGCTAAGGCCAGAAGTGTTAGCCATTTTATTGTGCAGCCACTATCACCTCCCATGAAGGAACAGACAGTTAAAACCATGCGTTCTCCGGGACTGAAACCCGGAACCTTTTGTTCTGCAGTAGGCTCCCCTAACCATTATACCATCTGGGCTCCTTGAAGAGTGTATAAATGTAGTTATTTAAAAAAAGAAAATGTCAAACATTTAATACGAATAAAATGATGTTTTAGATATTGACATAAATAACAGAAAAATTTAGAATACAGATAAAACATTTTTAAGAAATTAGAAAAGTTGAATTTTTAACCTAATTATTCAAGATACATTCCAATGTGAGATTTTCTTGCGGAAAAATTTATTTCTATCTAAAATATGGCTCAACTTGATGCAGTATATATTTTAATGAAGACTGAAACAGATTAAATAAGAATTAAAACTTCTCACTGCTGGTCAGAAGGCAAGAAAAATATTAAGAAGGAACTTTTGATGCCTGAAATGAAGCAAAAACTGTTGTTGTGGGCTAAAAAATAAAATCTTGGACCATAAATGACTGCAAAGAGTTAATTTTCAGTGATGAGATTCATTTATTTGTTCATTGCTACAGATCTAATGTTATTAGATGAAGCAAGGTTAATCAACAAGACCTCAACATATCTAACAAACAGTAAAATACCCTCAAAAACAAATATTTTAGGTTTTTTTCATTGCAGATGGCACTGGAAGTCTATTTCATATTAAGTGAATGATGACTTCACTGAATTATATAAAATTTTTAAAACTTAAGATTGTACCATTCTAGAAAACCTTCGTAGGGACATTTCCATGTCACAATCTGAAATCTTTAGGAAGGGTCATGTTGGAAAATAAAATTACTCTGCTAGTAATGCTAGAATAATATCAATTGGGTGACAAAACAACATGATTAATAATCCTACAAAATTGTGGTTCAACGATTAAACAGTAAAAAATATATGTACAGGACTAGCACAGTTAATGTCTAAGTGCATTCTAGAGGTCATATTTCTGATTAATGGGAGGACATATTTCCTATTATTTTTAATATCACTGTATATGAAGCTATATATATAAATTATAAAAAAAATCACTCTCTTCCAATTAATTTATACACTATAGAACAGCGATTCTCTACTTTTCGACTAACGCGTACCATATAAATAAAAACTGAAAAATTCAAGTACCACTGCTACATTTTACAATGATTATTTTTCAATTTCTCAATTGAAATATTAAAAATATATTTTGCCATTTGCACAACCTATTGGCTATTTGTATTAAACATGCATACATAAAATGACACTGTTTTTATACATATATTCTATAAACAAACCCATAATATTTTAGATTAAAAATGGGTTACCATTTTTATTATCAAAATTTAAGTATAATACTTAATTTAAAATTAGGCAAATTGAGTCTGTTAAGACAGACAAATTTTTTGTCTGATCTTATTCACCTTATTTTAACCGTAATAGGATTCACTTTTAATTTTGCTCTGTCTTTAATTTTTAAATATAACATGAAAAATTCCTTGTTCACTATAGTTTGTGCAAAAGGACAATACAAATTTAATAGCTTTATTGAAATGCCTCTAAATTTTTTTTCAGTTCAGACAAAAGTTAACAAGTGTATTATTTTGGAAATCTTCAGTTCGAGTTCGATCACAGGAAATTTCTATCAATTTTTTTCTTCACGAGATTTTTGAATATAATGGTTAAAAATACTTTTCCTTTGCATACCACCAGTTGGGAATACTTGCTATATAATATAATTTAAGTAAGGTACTGAAACAACTAGCCACTGAAACATGATTTTTGGTGTATGCAAAAGCCTTGGTCTAAAATACATAAAAATGAAAAAAATGTGCAAATTGCCTATAAATTGAATACAATTGTATTTATTTTTAATTTTTTCGATTGTATACAACTTTTGAGCAATTTGCTCATTTTTTTTTTTATATCTTTAGCCCAAAGCTATTTCACACGCATTTATTTCTCTAATGAATTCTGTTTTTATCTGCAATAGTTTAATTTTAAGTAAATAAAAAAGAAGCATGTCCTGATGAGTGGTGACTTCTTTGCTTAAATCATCTGGTTTACAGAATCTTAGCTGCTTTAGTGCCAGATTTTTATTTTGAAAGTACTTAATAAAAATTTTTTATCACATATACACACATACATATCTATATTTGCATCAATGATTAAAAAGTTTTACAATGAAAGTACTTTAAAAAATTATGCATGTAATACCGTTTTGAATGAATATGTATAGATTAATCAAGCATTTTTTTAACTGCCATACTTGAAAATCACGCTGAAAAAAAATTTTGACTTTCAAAATATAAAAATGCTATGTATTTATGCATAAAAAGTGTAAAACTATTCATATAAAATTTAGCAATGGGTATTAAATCTGATTTTGAAATTTTGTCATATAATAAATGGCTAAACAATCAGAGTTTGAAAGTCAAACTTGCAGTGTTGTAAAATTTATGTCCAACTAGCAATGGCATATATTTAATTTGCTTTCACAGTTAAAGTATACTTTGAATATTAATTCAACAATTCATTTAAAAATTAAAACTCGTGGATACTAAATATTTTTAATGTAAATAAAGAATACAATTCAGCAAAAAATTAACATGGAATAGCATTAAAATCTGCGATACATGTAAAAAAACAACAAATAGAAAATGACACTGTTATTATACATATATTCTATAAACAAACCCATAATTTTAAACAAACACCTATAAATAAATGTATAAATTATAAATAAATGGCTGTACAGTGAAAAGACCCTTGCTGTTAACAGTATAGAAAATAGACTGTCTGTAGTGGAAAACTTGAGATTATTTAATGCTTGGCTGAACTCTCCCTTAGGCTCTGTATACTGGAGGGTCGGGGAGGCAGCAAAAGTGTCAATATATTTTCCCTGAAGCACAGAAAAGGAACTTATACCCTTCTTCTCAAAGGATAATGATTTAAGTAGCAACACATTTTTAATTGAAATTTGGCTTTACATACAAAGCAGATGAACAGCCTTTTGCCCAATAAGAAAATATATGTCTCTATACACATTGACCTTTCAGTACACCACAAAGAAAAATCTGAGGATCTGAAAGTGTTTCTCATGTAGTTGAGAATTAAATAATGGCCGAGTGCTAAATCTATAAAATATTGGCAGCTTTGTACGGTTTTAATACATAAATTTCAAAAGGCTGGCTGCAAGTGGTTTTCCTTATGAGTAATGTAAACATGTAAACAGTTGCCCTTGGAAATCTTATATGAAGGTTCCCACCTCATAGTGTGTTTCAACATTACCAAATTATTCGATTCAGTCTTCGGTAGAACACCTATGACTGAATGATTTATAAACACCTTAAAGAACTGGGCACCTATTAAAAAATACATTCGACAGATTTCTTAAGAATTCAAACAAAATACATATCCCTCTTTCTTATGTAAAACTTGGTCTGAAGAAATAAATTTATCAAGAATTACCTCTAAAAAGAAAAAAAAAAAAAAAAGTTTTAAGTATCTCTGCAAAATAGTTCCCTAATTACTTCTTTTTAAAGTAACTAAATGCTAGTTGATTTAAAATGAATAGGTATTTTTTAGAACTGGATAACTCATTGTCTATGATAAACAAAGTAGGGGGAACTAAAAGTTCCCTTAAAAATTTATTTACAAAAGTTCCTCCGTAATAATATATTCATTTATTCTTGAAAACATTCAGGGAAAGTTCAAAATGTAAAGATGTTCAATAATTATTAAAATTAATTTATTGAATGCCTATTTGGACATTTTTCTGGGTGAAGAAAATTAGAAAGACTAACATTGTTTTCATTAAGACATTAAAGAGATGGAAAAGATATAAGGATACCAACATAAAATGTAAATAATAATGTTTTATAATTTTTGTAAACATGGACATTTTGAAATAGTTATAAAACTGGTTTTATGCTATATTTTTATACTATTGTTTTCAGCCAGTGACATACTACAACTTAAAAGCACTGGAACAAATTATAGATTAATGATATGTGAAAAAACAATTTTTGGACTTAGAATCCCAGACCCTTCAAAAACAGCATACATTAAAAAATTTTTTTAATCTAAGCTGTTTTTAAGTTCTCATTACTTAAGTATCTGCACATTAATGTTAACTAAATAAATAATCCAACCAGAAGTAAATTAAAGGAATATTAGAATCTGAAAATAATAACAATTAAAAATAGTAGTAAATTTCAGAGCTGTGAACAGATATAACTCATAAATGAACATATGTAAATTGAGTTTTCACAGCCATCTTCGAAAAAATTACTCCTGGTGGTACAATTTTATAAGTTGTTTCAAAGAAGATCTATATCCAGTAACAGGGCACTTGTTAGTCATCTCAACATATTGGTGTATACATGGATAACAAAAGACAAACCTAAAAGGAAAAAAAAAAAAAAAAAAAATCCTCCAATTTAGCAACCTATGAACAAATAACAAATTTTATTCTTGAGCAAAGTTTATACAAATGCTTCAGAAGCAGATTAAAAAAAAAAAAAAAAAAAAAAAATTAGATCTTTTCAGGTCTTAGCAATACTTCAACTAGTTTATACATATGTCATTAATAATTTATTTTTTATCATTATAGCTTATTTAAAATTATACTATAATACTGGAAAATTCTTTGAATTATTAAATATGCCTTTATGCATACATCATATGAATAAATAATGCCCGCAAATTTTTCACAATCTCATTTTTATGAATACATGTTTTGGGGGAGGAAAGAGAACATTTCTATGAGAAAAACACAAGATCAAAAATTTTAGATGTTAGCCTCCGAATGCAAAAGTCAAGAAAACTGCTCAACAAAAACAAACGGACATGCTGTTTATTCAAGCTTAACATCAGTCTTACAATCACTTGGTATCTCAGTTAATAAGTCTTTTAAAAATGGACATAAAAATTTTTATTCTGACTGGAAAGCTGGAGGCAGTCATAACATCCCTTAATATCAAGGGACAAAATAAAAACGCTGAATTTGAAAAATAAGCGAAAATGGATCATAAAAGCATTGAAATTGATTTCATCATCAGCAACTGAGAAAATCATTGTGGAGAAAAAATAGGAATTTCAATGATCCAAGCATATTCCATTTAATGATAATCGTGTAGCAGCCTCATAATTATTTCATCCTTGAATCTGTGATATTGAGTAGGAAAACTCATGCATCAGGACAAGAAAATTGTTTCATTTTTAGCGATATCAGTAGCTAATCCTTAATTTAAGTGCTCTTTATTTTGAGGTTACAGATACCTAGCAAAAAATTAGAGCTTTTAAAATGCTATTCAGGGAAAACATTTTCAAATGATTTTAAGTAGGTTTTAAATTTAATATTTCTAATAAAATCAAAATTCCTGTTAATCAAGATGTCAAGGTACCTTAGAAGAATAAATACTTATACAGCTTATATTCAGGAATATTTCCATAATTTTTACACATTTATTTCTGTTTAATAAATAATGGCAAAAACTTTTTCATTTTTATTGCCATATTTCTGCACATATTTTTCATTACTATATAAACTATATATATATATCGGGTTCTAATGAAAGTTTCCCACCACCACAAACATCGTCTATGTAAGCTGTTTGTGTTTGCATGTTTAATCATATTTTGTCAAATGATTCTTGGCATTTGAAAGAAAAAGACTTGGTTTAGAACACTGCACTGTGAAATTTGTAAAAAAGTATCATTATCATTAAGTACACGGTGTCTGAAATGGAATTATCATGTTACCAGATTAGAATCATCATTTATTTCTAGTTCTGTTGCAAAATATCAGCTAAAGAATGTCATTAAATTATGTGGACAGCTTTAAGAACTAGTATTGTATATGACACTGTGAAGGTTTCATACCGAAAGTTCAAAAACAAGGAATATAACATTCAAGAAGCTCAGCGCTCTGGCCGGCCTAATGATGTTAATGAGGCTTGCCTGTGAGAACTTGCAAAAGAAGATCAATATGCAACCACTCGAGAGCATGCTAAGGAGTTAGATGTCAGTGCCATGTCCATTAGTCGCACAATGCATCGCATAATCTTGATGTCAATTGCTGGTTACTGCATGAGCTGACTTAAGCAGATAAGAAAAGACATGTCTGGGCCTGCACTAATCTGTTTGAATAACAATGCAAGGACAAAATTTAGGACCAGATTGTCACATGTGATGAAAAGTGGACTTCAACAACACAGGCTGAGAAGAGGGTTGGTCTGCACCCAGTCAGCCCATCAGCAGTGTCAAAAAGCACAATTTGACCAACAAAAAGACCATGCTTTGAACCTGATGGGATTGCCGTTTGCATTATCCACAAAGAGTATCTGGACAAAAAGGAAAACTCTTGACAGTAAGGTTCACAGTGAGATGCTAGTCCATGTTGATGTTGTTAACAAGGAAAAACGTCAAACTGAGCTCCAGTGCAAAAAGGTTATGTTCAATCAAGATAATGCATGACCACATGCGTCTGCATTCACAGGCTGGACTCTGTATGGACTCAAATGGGATCTTTTGCCACACCCACCATATAACGCTGACATCGCTCCTTCGCATTTCTACCTTTTTTCATACCTGCAGCTACATCTTGCTGGTGCTACCTTGTATTTTGCACAGGATGTCCGAAATGAGGTTGATCTAGTTTTGGACTAACAGCCACCAAGTTTCTGGGCTGAAGTACTTACTGCTGATCCATTGCATAATGTGAATTTTTTCCTCATCAGATACGATGAAGATAACAGGGACCATGGCAGATATTATGGAAGGATAAGGCACATTTCTCCTTAAATAGGAGTGCAAACTCTAAGAACTGCATTCACTGGGCTGATGAAATTCCTCATGACGTGTCACCAGTGCTTTTGCACAAAACTAAAGTGATTATGTGGTGTGGCACATTTTTTCTTGGTCCATACTTCTTTCAATGGTTACATAGATATGAAAATGTGCTCCATCACAATTGCTCGCTATATGAAAATGTTGCTAAATTATGAAATTCCAGAATAGCAGCAGCAAAATGTCATTAATGATATCGTATGAATGCACAATTTGGCATATTTTTACTGATGAAAAAGAGTGATAACATACATCATTATTCAATGTAATTTCAAAAATTTACTTATTGCATGCCTATTACACATATATATTTATTTTACATTCTAATCAGGTATTTATCTAAAAAATCAAAAATAAATCTACCAACAAGCTCATTTCATTCAGTTTGAGTGATGCAACAGTGATGTGAGGACTATCTGACTAAGGTTAACTGGCTTGTATATGTGTTACACAAGGGGTAAAACATGAAAATGCCCATGCAGCCAGCCTGTTTGTGGGATTCGAACTTCGGATCAAATTACCAGTGTTTGGCGACTTTAATGCTAGGCTGCTGGTGGCCTGTTGACTTTTATTCTTTTTGTCTTGGTGGAAATTTAGTGATCACTTTAATAACAGATTCAAAATGATTTTTCCTTTAAGCAATATTGCAGCAAGATATTGTATTCCTGCAGAAGCTTAAGCAGTTTTTTCCAATGCTGGCTAATTCCACAACACATATATTAAAACTGACTTTAATGCAAAAAATATCATGATTTGTTTATAAAACAAAGTTAGAACTTGGAATACAAGAAGAAAAATGCATATGAATATGGCCACGTTGTTTGACTGACAGAAGGATTGTTAAAAGCATGGCTGACTGACAAATACTTATGCACGTGATTAACAGATTTGACAGCTTCTTCTAAGGTTGTTGCGTTCTAAATATAAGAGCACAGTTTAAAATTTACAAACCTCATTATTACATCCCAAACAGAAATGCATGAACTCTATCACTTAACTTATTTAAACATAAATATACAGTTTGTTAGAATATTAATAGCCAAAATTTATCTAAGGAATATCAAAGTTATCAGCAAATAGAATAAAGAGTTAGTATGTAAAAATGTGTCACTTTTATAGAAATTGAGGATAGTTTAGAAGATGGGTTTTTAACATTCAAATACTACATTGTCAATTAAATTACAGCAAAGGAGGAGGGAAAGGAAGATTAATTAAAAAATATTATATAATAAAAATAATAAACCATAACTTATTTCTTATATGAACACTATCAAGACACAGACTTTTTATTAGCACTATAAATATTATCATTTATTTGTGCTATAAAGAATATAATTCATACATAGAAAGCTCTCATCAAATTTTTAAGTCCTAACCAAAACATATTGTTACGAATTTGGTATTTAAAAAGCTAATGTTAGTTCAATTATAAATTAAATGGTTTTATTTCTCGCGCAGTGCAGCGCGTGACGAATATTAAAAGAAAGCTAAGCCGGAAAAATTGAAAATACAAGAGCGCGTGCATTAAATAAATAAATATCTCTTTTTGATTTCGAGAAAGTACTGGAAAATTCTAGCGCGTGATTTTAAAATCTTATAAAAGGAGGAAAACATCTCAGTTTGCAGTAGTTGCTTAGTTTGTTGTTGTTTAGAAAACTACTGTTGTTGATTGTAGCGAATTCGCGGATTAGCGTTCTTTAGCTGTTTTGAATTACGTTCTATTGGACATTTGAGTAGTTAAAAGAAAACTACTGTGAGATATTGTAATACTGCATGATAATTTGAGAAAATTTAAGCATTTTTTTGTTGTGATAATAATAAATTTTTGTTCATTTTTCATCGGACTTGTGCATTCATTTCATAACGAACCCGTACGCACGCAACAATTTTTGGTGGCAGCGGTGGGATTTGAATGCCAATCACAAGAGCGATGGAAGAGCAATTAAGATAGCTGATATCAGCGTTTGCCTCGTTTAAAGAAGAAATGAAAGCAGAGATGAAATGTAATCAGGAAAAGATTGAAGCAGGACAGGAAAAGATTGAAGCAAGACAAGAAGAGATGAAAAGAGAAATTACCAGCGTAATAGAAAACAAATTCGAGGTTATGGAAGGCAGAATTGACGCAGTTTGAGAATAAAGTTGGAAACTTTGAAGAAAAAGTTTCTTCGGTAAAAGAAGAAATAGAAGAGAGAGTTTCTGCCGTGGAAACAACAAATTAATGATAGAGTTTCTGCGGTCACCAAAGAAGTTGATGACTTTAAAGAATTCGTAGCGACGGCAGGTAGCAATCCAATTCTGAGGGTTTTAAATTTTTTTATCGATGCCTGCTCGTTCCGTTCTGCAGAAACTATCTACATATGATGGGAAGACCTCCTGGCAAGTGTATAAGGACACAATTTTCTATCGTTGCGGATGCGAATGGATGGGATTCCCAAGCTAAGGCCTGTCATCTCGCCGCTTCTCTGAGAGCAGACGCAGCGGATATCCTGCAGACGCTTCCCGAAAATCAAAAGGCTAGATTTCGAAGCTCTATCCGGCGCCCTTGGAGCTTGCGCTTTGGGGAAAGTGTTTAAAAGACTACAGCAGGCTCCAATTAAAATCTCGTCAACAGAAGCCTACCGAAACACTTCAGGATCTCGCCGCGGATGTTGAAAGGCTGTCCCATCTCGCCTTTTCGGAATGCCCGACAGAAACAAGGGAAATCCTGTCCTTGCAATACTTTATCGACGGCATCCGAGATACTGAAATACAGAAAGCTCTACGAATGGCGGATGTAAAGATTTAAAAAGTGCTCTAGTGTACGCCATGAAATTTGAGGCAGCCCAGCAAGCCACTCGTCGAGACCGCCACCCAGTCAGAGCTGCTCAAGTCCAGGAGCCAGGGGATCAAGTCACCGCTCGACTTGACGATTTAACTAGACAACTGAACGCCTTGAGACGGAATATTGGTGAGAAGAAACCGACCGTTAAGTGCTGGAACTGCGGTGCTGAAGGTCACATACGACGAAACTGCAGAACACCCCGAGGTACGGAAAATAAGACCATTTCCCAGCAACAACGCAGTAAACAAATTAGTGACCATATCGAGGAACGGAGGTTTCGCCAGATAAGTGAAAAACCTTGTTTTTAAAGCTCTTCAAATTTCTACAGTGAGTGGACAACAATAACGGACTGTCCATCAATGGGAATACTCGATGGAGTTCCTTGCAATATGATCATTGACACAGGAGCTAATGTTACCATCATTAGGAAAAGATTTAGCTGAACAGTTTAAAGATAAACTTATTTGGACGCCATCCTGTGTTACCCTTCAGACTGCGTCTGGTGACAAGATCGACATAACTGGGAAGTTAAACGTAAACATCACGTTTGGAAGTGCCGCCTACCATCACACGGCTTATGTGGCGGATATTACAGAGATCCATGCATACTCGGATTGGACTTTTTAAGGAAATACAATTTTTCCTTAGACTTGAAAAACAACAAACTGCTTTCAGGATCTGAAGACATGACTATCCATCCTAAGAAGGGATCCTCACCTGGAAATGCCGACGCTTTGTCCGAAAGATCCAGCTCGGGAAGCTGCCGAAATCATACTAGGGTCGAAAAGAAACGCAAGACTACCAGCTCTTCTCCAGCCCAGATGCTCTTCGATCGAGACCTTCGTCTGCCTTGTGACCGCCTGTTTGATCGCCGTATGGATGCGCCTTCATCGCCTGAGAACACATCCAAGATGTCCAGGCCCATTTTGAAGTGTTGCCCCGTTTCGCACGAAAGCGAGTGAACTTGGCGATGGAGAAAGCAAAGACCAGATACGACACGAGAGCTACTAGACATAGATCCAACAAAGGAGAGAAGGTGTGGTTGTGGAAGCCGATTCAACAAAAAGGACTGAGTCCTGATTTACAGTCACCTTGGGATGGTTCGCACACAATCCTAAACAGGCTAAATGACGTCATGGTTCGGATCCGTGAGTCTTCGAACTCTTACGACAGGTTAGCTCATTACTATGGCCATAGTACGTAATGTAAATAATTGTAAATAGTATAAGACCATGGTCCATTTTGTTTTTAAATGCGTATTTGATTTGATTTGTATTTAGTATTTGATTTGCATTTAGTATTTGATTTGTATTTGATGGCATTTGATTTGTTTTATGTATTGCATTTATTGTTCATGTTGTTTATTATTGTAATGTAATGCTTATTAATGCATTTATGCCACAGTTGTAAGTTTAGCTTCCTGTCCAGGGATTGTACTGCCCGGGACGTGCAGTCCTTGGGAAGGGGGCAGTGTTACGAATTTGGTATTTAAAAAGCTAATGTTAGTTCAATTATAAATTAAATGGTTTTATTTCTCGCGCAGTGCAGCGCGTGACGAATATTAAAAGAAAGCTAAGCCGGAAAAATTGAAAATACAAGAGCGCGTGCATTAAATAAATAAATATCTCTTTTTGATTTCGAGAAAGTACTGGAAAATTCTAGCGCGTGATTTTAAAATCTTATAAAAGGAGGAAAACATCTCAGTTTGCAGTAGTTGCTTAGTTTGTTGTTGTTTAGAAAACTACTGTTGTTGATTGTAGCGAATTCGCGGATTAGCGTTCTTTAGCTGTTTTGAATTACGTTCTATTGGACATGTGAGTAGTTAAAAGAAAACTACTGTGAGATATTGTAATACTGCATGATAATTTGAGAAAATTTAAGCATTTTTTTTTTGTTGTGATAATAATAAATTTTTGTTCATTTTTCATCGGACTTGTGCATTCATTTCATAACGAACCCGTACGCACGCAACAATATATTATCAAATTATCTATATTTCTCTAAAACTAACTTACAATACTTGAGCACATGAATTTTAATTTTGAAATTTACCTTGCACATATTAATTATAACTGCACTGCATTTCTAATCTTTTTGCAGCAATGAAATGCACAACATATGTGACTTTAATTTAATCTCATTCAACAATAAATGATGAAAGATACATGGGCTGTTTACAAATGCAGAGCATTACAATATTTTGATTTCATATAACAGCAATTTAATTTGAAGATTAGAATTTGAATTTGTGGAAAGATGTAAGTCACATCTATGGCCATAAAATTGGACATATCCTTAAACATATATGAAAAAGTTATGTTTAGTATAAGGAATAATTTTATAGCTGTGTAACTATGAAAACAAGTAATTCAACTGAACTAAGTGAAACCAATTTTTACAAACACAATAAACCCTATAAATGGTTGGCTTATCAAGATCTGAATTTAAATATATTCTATAAGTTACATTTGTGAAATTACTTATTTTGATCCCTGTTTTCATAAATTTCTATTCATTTAGATGATACTTACATCATTAAAGAAAATAACAAAGCAAAATATTTTAAATTATAAGCTAATAAATAATAATAATAGACACAAAATTTCATGACTGGATAAAAGCAGTCATGCCACTAAGGTGGTTAATTACAGGTATTTTATTTCTATAAATACTTTAAAAATTTTTAAACTATTTATCTGGAAGTATAAAATACTTACCCGCTGCTGCTTAAAGCAGTATCATTTGTTCTTGGTTCTTTACAGATAGGACAGATATCAATTGGTGTTTCACAAGGCCACTATAAATGAAAAAGAATACACATACATACGTATATAATTAGATACATATATACATACACATATTCAGAAATATTTGAATGAAAAAAGAATAAGGAATTTTCCCCAATTTTGGTTTAATTATTATCTATTAATTATACATACACTGCAAAGCAAAAAGGGCAAAAAAGATAAAACACATATATAATTTTATAATTCATTTTCTTTCATTTTCTACTATAAAGAAAGTTACTGCAAATTATGAAAAATAAAATTCAGAATTTTAGAAAGTAAATGATATTTGAAGTTTATATGCTCACAATATATCTATCAACTTTATAATTTTATATAAAATGCACACATTTTCGTATCATTTAAAGCATTAATTAATGATTACCAAAATTTTACATTTTTAACAACATATATCTATTTTTAAACACACTTATTCATTCTCAGGAATTACTGATTAAAAATTATAAAGAAATTATTCAAGTTTTGGTCAAAATTTTTATTTTGATCTACAGGGCTGCAAATTAGCAGCAATCTCATTTTATAGCAAACTTGAGTTTCTCTAAAAATCTAAGTTTTGCTTAAAAAGCTGATTTACTTCCGATTCACAGACTTTTTTTAAACCCAACTTGCTCTCTATTTCAGTTTATCATTTTAAATCCCGGCCCACCAGCGGCCGAGCGGTAAAGTCGCTGAACACTGGTAGTTCGGTCCGAGGTTCGAATCCCGCGAACGGGCTGGCTGCATGGGCGTTTTCGTGGTTTTCCCCATGTGTAACGTGTATACGAGCCAGTTTACCTTAGAAAGTCCTCCACGAAAGGCATTCCTCCCCTTAGGCAGATAGCCCTCGTGTGCTTTGCCATAATTAAATACACCACACCACACCACACCACACCATTTTAAATCCCAAATAAGTGTTAGTGAATAATACAGTTTTTTAGACAAGCATATGAAAATACTTCAAATAAAAATTTAAAGAATATTTTTTATCAATAAATACAGAATGCTAGAAGAAACATTTTATGGTAAAGTCAGATTGCACCTCCTGTCCACTTAAAATTTCACTTATGTATATTTTTCATAGAAGCCCAATGGCAGAGTGGCTAGCACATATCGTGCAGCAGCATCAAAGGTTCGGCGTTTGATCCACAGGCTGGGCTAGATTGACTCAGCCTTTCATCTCTGGAATGGGTCAATATAATGAGTACCAAGTTCACTTGGTGACTAAACACCGGTGGGGGAGGGGGGTCCTGCGACAAGCTGACCATTTGTCCAGGCTCAGATGCACAACACCCCGAAGCCCACAGTCTAGGAAGCAGATATCAGGGCACTGCCAGCCATGGCTCTCTATGGACTGTTTGTGCAGGCGAGTTTCAATTTTTTTATATTTTTCGAAGTACTGCCCAGATGGTATAGTGATTAGGGGAGCCGACTCTGATACCAAAGGGACAGGGTTCGGATCCCAGAGAAGGCATGATTGTTACTGTCCAACCCTTCATAAGAGGCAAAGGCCACCCACCTATTAAGTGCCTCCATAAAAATGTGACCACCACTTCTGGCCTTAGTAGTAGCTAAGATTGAGTTGGCTGAGGGTCCACCGCCATTAAGGAAAAAAAAAATATTTCCCAGGAAATAACTGAAGCCTTTTTAAGAAGCTTTCAGAATATCAAAGAGATGAAAAAACATACATTTATTAATTACTTTAGTCCGACATATTTAGCTCATAAAAATGGACTACAGATAACTTTTCTATTAACTGTAAATATATTATACTGTGATAGTTTTGTGCCATGTTCACAGGAGCCATTCTCCTGTGAGGACAAGACGGTAAAGCTTTGATTTGGTTTAATCACATAGAGCAATCTATTGGGTCAGTCCATAAATTAATGCATATTTTTTGATAAATTTTTAAATAATATAAGAAACACAATTTAACATTTTAATCTATTATATACGAGGGCTATCCAGAAAGTAGATTACGTTTTGGAATAAAAAAATAAACAAAGTATAGGAAACAAATTTTATTATATACAGATGAAAGCCACACTCAAATACTACTTTTCTACATAGTCACCATACAAATTAAGGCATTTATCGTAGCGATGTACGAGCTTGGAAATTCCTTCGTCGAAAAATTCGGCCGCCTGCGCCTTCAACCACTTCGTTACCTCTTCTTGCAGCTGTGTGTCGTCATCAAAACGCTGCATAGCCAACCACTTCTTCATTTTCACAGTTCGTTTCACAGTTCACATGTTTCACCCATGTTTCGTCACCAGTAACGATGCGATCGAGTAAAGAGTCACCATCCTTATGGTAAGCGTCCAAAAAGTTCAACGCTGCTGCAGCCATTCGCTGATTTTTGTGGTCCTCTGTCAAGATTTTTGGAATCCATCTTGCACAAAACTTGTGGTAACCAAGCTTTTCGCTGATGATTTCGTGCAACAAACTTCGCGAAATTTGTGGAAAACTCAAAGAAAGTTCCGTTATTGTGAAATTTCGATTTTCACAGACTTTAGCATCGACTTTTTCGAGAAGTTCGGCGGTCACTATGCTGGGTCTCCCACTTCGATCTTCGTCGTGAACATTGGTTCGGCCATTTTGAAATCTTATGACCCACTGACGCACTCCACCTTCAGTGATAATGTTGTCCCCATACACTTCACGAAGCTGCCGATAGATTTCTATCGGTTTACAGTTTTTTGCAGTCAGAAACCTTATTACTGAGCGCACCTCGCGGGATTTTCAATTAACGCAGACATTTCAAACCGTCACAGTATCTGAACGGAGCACAGCACGAACCTCTCACTAGCACGGCTAGATGCAGACTGAGCTGCGCAACGCTCTGACCCCAAGATGGCCGCGCTAGCCCCGCCCCTAGCGGACACAGACGGAAACGTAATCTACTTCCTGGATGGCCCTCGTATTTTCCTCCATTATTTACAATGTCTCCCCATCTTGCAGGCAACTTTTTTATGCCATTGCTGTAGAAAGACTCTGGTTCTGATGCAAAAAAACTTGAAAGTTCATTGTGTACATTCTGTTTAGAATTTAATTTTTTTTCCCAGTAAAAAAAAAAAATTGTAAGGCACGAAATAAGTGAAAATCACTCGGGGCAATATCTGGGGAGTAAGCAGGATGTGGCGAAAGCTCCCAATTGAATTCACTAATTTTTTGCAGCATTGTTCGAGCTGTATGCGGTCTAGCGTTATCATGATGAAACAACACTTCCTTGATATTCAACAATCGTGGGCGTTTTTTGATCAATTCTGAGTTTAGACGGCAAAGTTGTTCATGATAAACTTCTGAATTAATTGTTTGATTTGGTTCTAACAGTTCAAAACGTCCTGAACGGGGTTCATCATCAATGCTGCTTTCCAACTTACATTTTTTAAACCATTTCTGGGCAGTCCTTACACTAATAGTGTGTTCACCATGTACACTATTAATTTTTATTGCTGAAAACCTGAAATGGTGGCAGATTCACCACATGAAAATAAAAAATATAGCACAGCACGTTTGTACTGATTATCTATATTCATCTTCCAGGGGTATTAAAATGCGTTCGATATTTACGAAAGTTGGTGATGAACTGAATAATATATTAGTCAAACGATGATAAGTTTCAACAGGTTCAAAATTGTATTGTTTTAGTAAATGCATCATAGTGAATTTCACGCATACTCTTAATGTGCACGAACTTATGGACTGACCCGATATATGCCTATGAAAAAGACAATAGACAAGCTGTAAAACTTGCATCACAATAACAGAAATGACTTTGGCTGAAGAATTCGTTACCTATGATGAAAAATTGCTATTTATTTAGTTTCATAGCATATCTGTAAAAACAATTTACTGGCTTTGATAAAAACAGCAAAATGTCATGTTTTTATCCAATATATCTGCAGCTTCTGCAACATTAGACAGAAGCTTTTTTGTTTTGTTGTTAGTGTAATTCCTCCCTCCTTCCACTGGAAAATTTAGTACTTTACAGTGTTTTTAGCCTTCATAGTTTTAATGTGGACATTTTGATTATCAAATGTTTGGTTTATTTTGTTATCGTAAAGCATGAACCTATCTATGGGAAGGGATGCCTTTGTGGAGGACTTTCTAAGAAAAACTGGCTTGTATCCCCATTACACAAAGGAAAAACCAAAACACCAATGCAGTCAGCCCATTTTGCTGGTCCTAAACCCAGGTCGAATGTACCAGTCTGCAGTGACTTTATCACTTGGATTATCATGCATAATGTTTCATCAAATCACAATAAATCATGCAAAAATTTATGCATATATAAATATGCAACTGTGCTGAACATTTGGCAGAACATTGAGCAATATATAAATAGCAAAGTCTATAAATTGCAATTTTTTAAATAACAGTGATAAAAGGTATTTTGAAAATGATGTCATAAGTCACTTTATTTCTTCAAGTTCTATCCTGAAAGAAGTAATCAAAAGCCCGTTCAGACTAATTCATACAATTTTTTAAAATTTGGCTTGTTCCAAACAACTGGGTTACATGACAAAAAGAATGTTAAATCCATGAAACTATGAAAACAATATATCTAGCTATATGTAATAGATTGTGATCATATGAATTGAATAGACATAACATGAGAATGTTTTTAATGGCCAGAAGTTCATATTCACTCTTTATCAACACAGTTTAAAGACAGATCAAAAAGTAATTCAACAGAAGTTCAACGATGGTAGTGTACTTTAAATTTTAATAAAACTTTGTATGTGTGCTTATAAATAAACCAGTATAACAGAATACAGAGAAGAGCTAAGAGAAACAGGAAACATATCACAGCAGAAAAGATCTAAAATATGCCTACTAGATAGAATTTCCAACAGAAAAACTCTTTTTACACTCTACTTTTTCTATTATGAATTTGTGTCAGCCTCACAATGTTCATTTGATGAATGCCGTTATCACTAATAGTAGATCTAGACTCTAGTCAAAGCCTACTTTTTTAGGCATGATGGGTTGAATGAAACGCATACACGATAACCAGTTAAACTCTGTTAAATAAATAACTAAATAAAAACTATTATTTTATTTGTAAAATATTTAAAAGTTGTGTTTAAGTTGTGTTTAAAGTATATTTTAAATTTAGTATCAGATAGTTCTTGCCAGCTCTATCACTAACAGAATGTTTGATGCCATTTATCTGAGTGGATGGTGTTGGTGTACTTAATTATGGCAAAGCACACTAGGGCTATCTGCCTAAGAGGAGGGATGCCTTTCGTGGAGGACTTTCTAAGGGAAACTGGCTCGTATACACGTTACACATGGGGAAAACCACGAAAACACCCATGCAGCCAGCCCGTTCGCGGGATTCGAACCTCGGACCGAACTACCAGTGTTCAGCGACTTTACCGCTCGGCCGCTGGTGGGCCTTTATCTGAGTGGAACAATTATAGGCCATTGAACTACAATAAATATACTAAACCGAACACTATCTTAAATAATACAAAATCGTTCAGTCACAAAAAATCACTTTTTGATGATTACTTCAGAAAATTATTTCAATTCTTGCATTTTCTTCAGTTGCTTATGTACCAGAAGCTGTATTTATGAAAATTCTGTACCAGTTTCTAGAAATACCTGGTGTGCAAAAATTAAGGACAATATGTTTTTTTAATATAACAATGCACAAAAGCTTTCCAAATCAACTCAAATAATACCATAAGATCCCCAAGTTTCAAGACATGAGTAATGTAAGCAAAACTTCCTGAAAAAGAAATCAACAGGATAAAGAGGAACTTTATTGAAAAAGTAGCATGGAGGACAAATGTGACAGAATGATGAAACATCCATGTGGCAGGTATCCAGCAAGAAACATCCAGTCTTTAGTATTGTGGGATGGTATCGTTCATTACAATCAGATGACGCAACAAGCTGTGAAAATAAATCTTTTACTTTTCCGATGATAGAAGCAAATACTGCAAATGCAAAATCTTACTGCAAATGATTTTATTTCTATGTGTAATTTGTTACATCTTAATTATGATTCAAATCCTGATAAATACTGTGATTTAATATTGAATAGTCTTTGTGATTTTAAGCTTTTAAAATCCGAAAGTGATGACGATGATGAGTTATCTGAAAACGAAAGTGTTTATGATTCTGATAAAAATGATAATATTAATTCTGTTTGGTCAGAATCACCTCCCATAAATAACTCAGTGAATGAAAACATTATAATGCCTAGCAATATTTCCCTACATTTTCGTGATATCTTAGAAACTGTTTCTGAATTTAATGGCACTGATACATATCCAGTTGAATCCTTCATTGGTGATTTAGAAGAATCTTTTAAATTATTTAAGTTATCGGAATTACAGAAAATTGTGTTTGCTAAAAAATTGCTTACTGGTTCTGCTAAAATATTTATTCGGTCTTTGAAAGGTATAATATCATGGGACAAATTAAAAGAAAATCTTTTATCTGAATTTGGTTCTAAAATAAACAGTGCACAACTTCATAATTTGTTACAAAAACAACACTTAAAACCTGGTCTTTCCAATGGTAAAATCTCTGGTAAAATCATCCAGATGTCATCTAACAGATTGATAGTTTGCCACTTCACACTCAGGCCGCAACTCAATGCCATTTAAACTGATATACGCCCTGCAGTAGCTTCACAGAAATGCTGAGCTCGCACTACCAGCGATCTTTATATATATCTTTATATACAACCCCATTATGTCTAGCTGTATATATGCACATGTGCTACAGTACCTGACCCTAGCTGATTTCCTGATTAGACCAATTTAGTGCACTCTGCCTCTTCGTTCTGCTTATAAGCTAATTTTTCAACTTTGTTCTTAATTTTTGCACACCAGTGTATATTTTAAATAAATAAATAAGTAAAATAAAATAGTAATAAATGAAATTCACATTACCATTATATTATTACAATATAGCTTAAAAATTTTTGCTTTGAATGATACTTTTGAAAATAATATGCATGTGGTAAATTTCGATTCTCGTTTTTTAATCTGGAGGTCTGCAATATCAAATAATCTGTGAAATTTTTATGACAATTTAAAATCACATCACCTTTCATCTTCTAGTGTTATTTTACTTAAGAAAAAGTTACAACTGCTAACAAATATTTTAAAATTAATAAAAATAATATAAGTTTATAGGAAATATGTGCTGATTTGAATGAAAAATACAACTGACATTCTTTAAGTGTAGGTTATAACAAATAATAATTTTGAGAAGTGATTATCCATCAAAATCAGGAGATATAATTTTAAATAAACATAATTTCCATCTTTTATATTTTTACTGAAAGAGATTTTTATCTCAATCCAGCCATTTCATATTTCTTGATCAGTAAAATTAGAAAATATAAAAGTACATATTTTTAAAAAAGGTAAAGTTATCATTACATTTTATGCATAAAAACTGGGATGGATATTTAAATCAATTAAAAAATAAATGATATACCTTTGGTGGAGGTGGAGGAACTGGTAATGCAGCAAAAGTAGATGGCTGACCTTCGCGATTATACCACCACTCTAAAAACTGAGTTAAAAATGCACCAATAGATACTGATAAAGTAACACCTCCTACCAATACATTTATCCATTTCCAAACAATCACAGGATATGATCTTAAAAAGATTTAAAAAATTAAAACTCAGTATATGGCAGTTTGAGAAAATTTTCAATAAGTAATCTGTTCAAAACTCAATCAACCAGAATTAATATTTGTAATATGTGACACATGATCATCTTCAAAATTCAGATAAAAAAATAGATAAAATTTTAAAATGAAATGTCACTAAAAATGATATACAGTTTTCAAACTATTTTCTATATGATTCATATTCTCTTTTTCAAAGGAAAAAATAATAAACAAGTTTCAAGCATCTTATTATTCAAATGTAAACATTATTGGCAACACACTTTTTATTCAACAGATTAAATACTGTACTTATTATTTAAATAATAAACACACTTTAAGCACCTCAGACTTATTATTCAAAAGTACACATCATTGGTTTGCTGAAGTTTAATAATTTATATTATGGAGGCACTATATTTGACACATATTGAGCTCAGAGTTTTCTGCAATAAAAATAATTAATGACCATATGTTGCTCAATTTTTTTAATTAAAAAAAAAAGGAATTAATGCCACAAAATAATGTAAATATTTCTCATTACAAATATAATTTATAAAATATTTAAAACATCAAAGGTTGTAATGAAAAATTCATTCAATTTTCTTCAGCACAATTAACAGAAAACTAGTACTACAAATACAAGAAATTGACATAAATTAAAACTTTCACACAATATAGTGATGGAAATATTTACATTATATGCTTGAATAATAAAAATGCATAAGTTCAAAAGTTATATTTCTTTAATGAAAGTACTACATTAGGTGTATCATTGGTTTATGAAAAAGTAGGAAAAAAAGCAAACATTTTTATTTATAAGTAACATTACCATATAAGTTTACTCAAGGCATATAATATACATATATGTATTTTAGATAGTTAAGAATAACAATTGACCATCAAAAGTATCTAAATGAAAATAAAAACTGCACTTTCATCAATAGGTAACATACACTCATGTGCAGAATTATGAAAATTTGCAAATTATGTCTGTTTGTCCAAAAAGTATTGAACCAAAGTTTTAATTATACCATCGAAAAATTATTCAAACATTGAAAATTGAATACAAGTGTATGTCTGCGAAACTGTAATTTTGGTGGAGATAAAAGCACATTTCTGCGCTCATACTCCTTCACAACTTTGGCCATGTTTCTCAGAAGAATTGCATAAATTTTATAAGGTATCACATAAAATGAGTAGTTACAAACTTATAGATGACAGAATGAGAGGAAGAATTGTCGGTAGACTGAAGGCAGTACAATCACACGCACAGGTGGCTACAGAACACAATGTAACACACAGTGTCATCTGAAATTAGTGGAAATAGTTTTAAGACACTTAATCCATATCAAGAAGATCTGTACAGTGCTGACTGAGATCCAGAGCAATGAATAAGGATCGTTATTTGGCACCTTCAGCATGCCAACATAGGACTGCTACAGCTTCATAGTTCTCACATGGGCTAGATACTGCTACTGCAACCTAAGTTTCGTGGTCTACAGTCGCTCAAAGGTTTCATGAAATAGCGCTGTATTCCAGTAGACCTGCATGTTTCTGTTATGCTCACTGCAGCATGCAAAAAAAAAAAAGGGAATTTAGCATGGTGCACACAACATGCCCCTTGGACCAGACTTCAGTAGAACACCATTCATTTTACAAATGAGTTGAGATTCAACCTGGAGAGATTCTCAGCACACCTGGATCTGAAGAGAGACTGAAATATGATACCATCTCTTCCTGATCAGAAAAAAGGATCATTACAATGATCAAGGCATAATTTGGACAGGCATTATGTTGCATGGCTGAACACTCCAGCATGTGTTTGATAAAGGCTCCCTGATAGACATGAAGTAAAGAAAGAAGGTCTTACAGCCCTAAGTTCTACTTTTCAGGGGCACAGTTTGTATAGGTTCCTATTAACTGTCTGCGTACGCCCCCCTGCGATTTCCATAGGATATGAAATCAGTCTTGTAATACGGGTGGCGTGAAAACAGCATGCGCAGTTTAATTTCTTTTATTTTCAATACGTATACCCCTTTTTATCCATATACGATGGGAATATTGTAATATTCATATTTCACATTTTGTTTTGCACCTAGATGGCACTACAGGTTTATATCATTGCAAGGGAGTACTATTGTTTCTTCACAGCCGAATACACACTGTTGCTTCTTTTCACTGTGGAATTATAAGAAAATAGAAAATATGCTTAGTTCATGATGTGTCATTTGTATCAGTTTATGGCAAAAGAAGAACTAAATCCAAAAGTGATTTATGATTATAACTGACTTTACTATGGGGGATGTTGACAGATAAGATTTGGAGATGTTGTACTCCCCTAGTACCCGAAAACAACTTTGTAAATATTACAAGAAAATGCTTCTTCATATATTGAATGAAACAATGTTGAATTCGTATATAATATGCAGAAAAATAGCAAAGACACACACACAAAAAAAAAAAAAAAAAATCCCTATTTGATTTCGAGCTAGCTGTGATCGAGGGAAGCTTTGAAAAATACTCTTCTGCTATATGCTCATCAATGCAGTCTAGTGATGATAGTATGAACTTTATTTGCCTTGTAGGGAGGCATTTTGCAAGCCACATACCAGCAAATTCTATAAAAAAGGAGCCAAAAGGCAATGCGCTGCTCCAAGAAAGACAGCAATGGGACAAAAATATGTCAAGAGACTTGCATATGGTGCGGAGAATGTAATGTTTAGGACCATGTTTCAAAGTTTACCACACTAAAAACAACAGGTATAATAATAAGTGAATACAAGTAAAGTATTTGCTGTACAAATTAGTTAACATGTGTATTTATCAAAATCAAAAAGATCCTGTGTATTTTTACATTTTTATTCCATGCATGCTAAAATCGCATGAGCTGTATTGTATGTTTTTAAAAAATTAAAAAAACTATTAAAATTCCTGCATTATACTAATTTTATTTATAAAGATGTGAATAGTAACATATGAAGATAGAGAAAATATAAAAAAAAAAAAAAACTGCCCCGTATTTTAAGATCAGAATGTATCAAAATTGAGTCGCACACAGATGGTTAATAGATGATAATGCTCATATAGAGCTCAGTTAGTCGATGTTTACCTGGAAAGCAAGATTATTTGGCAAATGGATTGGCCAGCCAGGTCTCTTGACATTAACCCAACAGAGCTTGTCTGTGATGCTTTTTGGGGGGCAATTTCGGAGTGGAATTGACTGCTATAAGTACTCCTCAACTGCCTCCTGTCCAGTATGCTGTGACAATGTATGATTTGTGAGACTTTGTGTGACTGTGAGAGAGGACTATACCCCATATTAGATTAATTTTCAATTTGGTATCCCAATGTAGATTTTGGACATCCCTGCACTATGAGTTTTACTGATGATCATGCATATGTAAAATGACTTTTGAATGGTACACCTCTTTCATTGTTATAAATGTATATACATACCAAATTTCATGAAAATATATCCATTAGTTTTTCAGAAATTTGACATAATGTGCAAATTTTCTTAATTTTGTACATGAGCATAAAAAAGCTAAAAAATTCCGACAGTAAATCTTCAATTTCATTTTTTCTAATACTATGTATCTGATTTCTCAATAGAATCATAGTAGTTCATTTGTTTTGAATATTATTTGACTTTATAAAGCAATGAATAGCTTTAGATGAAACAGCATGTTCTACTATACAATATAGTAACTGTGCTTTTTTCCTTTTTCATTCATCTTTCAACATTTAAGTTTAAATTTTAGATGCCTTATTTCCGTAGGTACAAGAAAGATTGTTTTCTAGTGTGCAATATATTGTGGAAATATTCATTTTATATATCATATATTATTAATGCATTATGTATCACTATTATTAACTATATCATCTATTATTAATGCATTATGTATCATCTATTATTAACATTTTATGTATCTTGGAATACATTATCTGCAGACATAAGGTAATTGCTATATATATGTTTTTTATACATAAAAATTAAACATTAAACCATAGTGAATAATATGATTTAATGTTTAATTTTTATGTAAAAATGCTCAGGTAAAAATACATTGAATTCAGCTCAATGTATTTTTACCTGAGTCACCACCAAGCCATCACTATAACATATTCATGAATCAAGCCACCACCATAACACAATCACAGCTTTCAACAACTAATAGTTTGGAAACACCATTCTTTATATATCATGTTACTTTTCCCCTTCTTTATACTTTCTTGATTTGGCTTCATCATAAAAATTATTTTAAGATAACTTGTTTTATTTGGCACTTATATATCAGTACAACCACTTTAGTAGAAGTCTCAAAATTTTCAGAATGTGAAAAAATTTGGCTTAAGATAACTTGTTTTATTTGGCACTTATAAATTAGTACAACCACTTTAGTAGAAGTTTCCAAATTTTCAGAATGTGCCAAACTTTGGCAACTATTCATAACAATTTTTTTTTCTTTTGGCGACTATGCAAAGCCATTTTTTATTATGTTCTTTTTCGCTGTATTCTAAATTTCAGTGGTTTTTTTTTGCAGGGGACAAATCATGATAGTGTTTGTTTAAAACTGTTGAATTTGGCTGTGGTTAAAAAAAAAAAAAAAAAAAAGGGGGGGAATAAAATTTCTGCAGAATACAGTAGTTTGCCAAAAAGTTGCTAAAACAAACAACTGCATTGAATCCACTGTCAAAGCGACTGCCACAAAATTTCTACCAGCATAAAAGATAAAAAAACTGCTTCTAAAAAGGTTTGTGAATTATTTTTTGTAATAAATACCTAATTAGAATGTAAAATAATAACTGTATACGTATATGTGTATGCAAGTACAAAATAACATTTTTGCAATTGCAAGTTATTATTTTTCTTTTGTAAAAGATTGCTAAACTGACCAAGGTTGCTGTGATGTAAGTAGCTTTATTTTAATATGGCGTACTTCTGTGATTGAGTTTTAGAGTTGGAAAGAAAAGTAATTTTGGTTA